CACACATGATTAACTCTATGCTAAGTAATGAGTTCAACAAATAATATGAGGAGAAAAATTAAAAATAAAAAAAAAAAAAAAAAAAACCTGTTCCTCAATAGTCAAGACAAGGTCAGCTCAGGTCATCCCTTCCCAAAGTGTCAATTTCACATCTTCATTTTCGTTTTAGGTGCTCTATTCATTCTCGCAGATCTGGGAGAACATATGGTATTTGTCTCTTTGGGACTGGCTTATTTCACTAAGTATGATGTTTTCCACATCCATCCATTTTGTTGCAAATGATCGTATTTCATTGTTTTACTGATGTGTAGTATTCCATACTGTACATATCCCATAATTTCTTTATCCAGTCTTCAGTTGACGGGCAATTAAGTTGGTTCCACGTCTTAGCTATTGTAAATTGAGCTGCAGTAAATAAGGGGGTGCAGATAACTCTTTTATTTGCTGATTTCATTTCCCCTAGGTAAATTCTCAGGAATGGGATGGCTGGGTCAAATGGCTGGTCTATATTCAGATTTCTGAGGTATCTCCATACTGTCCTCCAAAGTGGCTTTACCAGTCTACAATACCAACAACAGTGTATTATGGTACCTTTTACCCCACATCCTCGCCAGCATTTGTTGTGTATTGATGTCTGTATAAAAGCCATTCTAACTGGGGTGAGATGAAACCTCATTATGGTTCTGATTTGCATTTCCCTGATGGCTAGTGATCCTGAGAATTTTTTCATGTGTCTGTTGGCCATTTGGATTTCCTCTTTTGAGAAATGTCTGTTTAAGTCTTTTGCCCATCCCTTAACTGGGTTGTATGTTTTGTTGTTGTGGAGATTCTTGATCTCTTTATATATTCTGTTTATTAATCCTTTATCAATTGCATAGTTTACAAATAATTTTTCCCATTCTATTGATTGCCTCTTCAATTTCCTTAGTGTTTCTTTTGCAGTGCATAAACTTCTCAATTTGATGTAAACTCATTTGTTAATTTTGGCTTTGAATGCCTGCACCTCTGGGGTCTTTTCCAAGAACTCTTTGCCTATGCCAATGTCTTGCAGGGTTTCTCCAAACCAAAATTATTAATATTTAGAGTTATTAGTAAGGCTAACCAATATTATATATTTAACAACTATTTGAGTGATGAAATTATTTGAATAAACATTATTTGCATATTTATTGAATTATTTGAATATTTATTTAAACATACATCATTGGAATTGTTTCTTTAAATTATAAACAATGATATTCTTTAACAGTTCAAAAAGTGACTAATGTACATATAAAATTCTCGGCTAACACAATTTATATATCTTCTCAAATAAAAGGAAGAAATTGAATGTGAATGAATAGGAAATAAAAGATTGGTTATTTTTTTTTTTTTTTTTGGACAGGTAGAGTGGACAGTGAGAGAGAGACAGAGAGAAAGGTCTTCCTTGCCGTTGGTTCACCCTCCAATGGCCGCCGCTGCAGCCGGCGCACCGCGCTGATCCTGGCAGGAGCCAGGAGCCAGGTGCTTTTTCCTGGTCTCCCATGGGGTGCAGGGCCCAAGCACCTGGGCCATCCTCCACTGCACTCCCTGGCCATAGCAGAGAGCTGGCCTGGAAGAGGGGCAACCGGGACAGAATCCGGCGCCCCGACCGGGACTAGAACCCAGTGTGCAGGCGCCGCGAGGTGGAGGATTAGCCTATTGAGCCACGGCGCCAGCCTGGTTAATATTATTAAAATGAACCTTGGCATTTAAAAAAAGAGATCATTAAAAAATGCATAATATGGCATTTTCACAAGTTTGCTGACAGAACACAGCTATCATGAAAACCACCACTAAATCAAAGCCAAAATGGAAAAGGAAAAGATTCATATCAACATTGTTGTCGTTGGACGCATAGATTCCAGCAAGCCCATCACTACTGGCCATCTGATATACAAATGTGATGCCACTGACAAAAGAACCATTAAAAAATTTGAAAAGGTGGCTGCTGAGATGGGAAAGGGCTCCTTCAAGTATGCCTGGGTCTTAGATAAAACTGAAAGCCAAGCATGCATGTGGGATCACCATCAACATCTCCCTGTGAAAATTTGAGGCCAGCAAGTATTACATGAATATCACTGATGCCCCAAAACACAGAGACTTTATCAAAAACATGATTATATGCACACTTCAGGCTGAATATGCTGTCCTGATTGTTGCTACAGGAAATTTGAGGGTGCTATCTTTAAGAATGGGCAGACATAAAACATGCCCTTCTGGCTTACACATTGGGCGTGAAACAACTAATTGTGTTAACAAAATGGATTCCACTGAGCCAGCCTACCACCAGAAGAGATATGAGGAAATCGTTAAGGAACTCACATTAAGAAGTTACATTAAGAACCTACATTAAGAAAATTGGCTACAATCCTGACACAGTAACATTTGTGCCAATTTCTGGTTGGAACAGTGACAACATGCTGGAGCTAAGTGCTAATATGACGTGGTTCATGGGGTGGAAAGTCACCTGTAAAGATGGCAATGCAAGTGTAACCACACTGCTGGAAGTCTTGGATTGCATCCTCCCACTAACTAGAGCAACTGACAAGCCTTGTGACTGCCCCTATAGAATGTCTACTAAATTGGTGTAATTGGTGCTGTCCCTGTGAGCAGAGTGGAGATTGGTGTTCTCAACCTGGCATGGTGGTAATCTTTGTTCCAGTCAACATCACAACTGAGGTCAAGTCCATTGATATACACCATGAAGCTTTGAGTGAGGATCTCCTGGGGACAACATGGGATTCAATGTCAAGAATGTGTCCGGCTGGTGCGGTGGCACAGTGGGTTAACGCCCTGGCTGAAGTGTCGGCATCCCATATGGGTGCTGGTTCAAGATCCAGCTGCTCCACTTCTGGTTCAGCTCTCTGCTATGGCCTGGGAAAGCAGTGGAAGATGACCCAGGACCTTGGGCCCCTGCACCCATGTGGGAACTGGGAAGAAGCCTCTGGCTCCTGGCTTCAGATCAGCGCAGTTCCGGCCGTTGCAGCCAATTAGGGAGTGAACCATCAGATGGAAGACCTCTCTCTCACTCTCTCTACCTCTCCTCTCTCTGTGTAACTCTTTCAAATAAATAAATAAATCTTAAAAAGAAAAAAAAGGACATGTCTGTCAAAGATGTTTGTCATGGAAACACTGCTGGTAAGAGCAAAAATGACTCACTAATGGAAACAGTTGGTTTTATTGATCAGATGATCATCCTAAACCATCCATGTTAACTCTGTGCTGGGTATGCCCCTGTACTGAATTGTCACACAGCTCACATTGCTTGCAAGTTTGCTGAGCTGAAGGAAAAGAGTGATCATCGTTCTGGAAAGAAGCTGTAAGATGGCTGTAGATTCTTGAAATCTAGTGATGTTTGCCATCATTGATATGGCTCCTGGCAAGCCCTTGTGTGTTGACAGCTTTTTGCCATTAATGATATGAGACTGGCAACTGTGATCAAAGCAATGGACAAAAAGATGCTGGAGCTGGCAAGGACACCAAGTCTGCCCAGAAAGCTCAGAAGGTTATTACCTGCCACCCCAGTCTTAATTAGTGGTGGAAGAAGAGTCTCAGAATCATTTGTCTCAATTGGCCATTTAAGTTTAATAGTAAAAGAATGGCTAATGATAACAATGCATCAAAAAACCTTCAGAAGGAAAGGAGAATGTTTTGTGGACAATGTTTTTGTTTGTGTGCATGTCAGTTTTAAGTTATTAGTTTTTAAAATCGGTACTTTTTAATGTAAACCACTTGACCAAAAATCTGTCACAGAATTTTGAAACCCATAAAATAAAGTTTAATGAGAAAAAAATTCATAATACGAAACATACATGCATAATACAAACTGACAACAATAACCAAATGCACAGCCTTGTCAAACTGCTCCAAGTATTCCTTCATAACCTTATGCTTTTATATTAATAAGTTCATTAATTAAACTGTAGAAGTTTAAGTAAGCAAAATAAAAACATACAAAAAGGTTCTTGTCCTGGGGTCCAAAAACATCTGGGAAGTCTCACATAAAAAGTATGCCACAGTTGTAATTTCTGAAACAAGCATTTTTTTAAAAATGTTGAGGAGACTGGTGCTGATGCGTAGAAGGTAAAGCTGCCACTTGCAGTTCCGAATCCCATACAAGTGACCATTTGTGTCCCGGTTATTCCTCTTGTGATCCAGCTCTCTGCTATAGCCTGGGAAAGCAACAGAAGATGGCCTAAGTCCTTGGGCCCCTGTACCCACACAGGAGACCCAAAAGAAGCTCCTGGCTCCTGGCTTCAGATTAGCCCAGCTCCAGCTGTTGGAACCATTTGGGGAGCAAACCAGAGGAGAGGAGATCTTGCCCCCACCACCGTCTCTCTCCCTGCCTCTGCCTCTCCATAACTATGCCTTTTAAATAAATATAAATGAATGTTTTTAAAATGTTGATTCATTTTAAATAAAAATGTTGAAAAGTCACCAAAAGTTTAACTCTTGATAATTTTCCATGTGTGCAGAAGGTCACCATAATGAGTTTGTCACTGGTTCACCTCCAACATATTTCATAGCCATAGCCTTTTTTTTTTCTTAAGATTCATTTATTTATTTGAAAGGCAGAGTTACAGAGAGAGAGAGGCAGAGGCAGAGAGAGAGAGAGAGAGAGAGAGAAAGAAAGTCTTCCATCCGCTGATTCACTCCCCAAATGGTCAAAATGGTGGGAGTTGAACCAATCTGAAGCCAGAAGCCAGGAGCATCTACTGGGTCTCCCATACAGGTGCAGGGGTCCCAGGACTTGAGCCATCCTCCACTGCTTCCCCAGGCCATAGCAGAGATCTAGATTGGAAATGGAGCAGCCAGGTCTAGAACCAGCACCCATATGGGAGGCTGGCACTGCAGGCGGCGGCTTCACCTGCTATTCCATAGTGCCAGTCCTATCGCTGTAGTCTTTATTTACCAAAAGTAATTTAGTAGAAGTTCATATTTATTGTAGCTAGAAAAATTTAGGGAATAAATGGTTTTACCTTTTCAATCTTTCCACCATTGATGTCACTGGGAAGGAATTTCTTGCCAATTGTTCTCAGATCTGTCTAAAATGAAAATATTATTATTAAAATAGAATTACAGAAAAAGTAATCTAAATCTAATCTCATGAACAAAAAATGAAAATACTTAAGACTTATGGAATAAAAATTGATGTTTTAGTTGATTATAAGAGCCACACATATCATCAATCTTTTAAAATAATATAGACGCATATGTAAGTTATTTAAAGTGTGTAAATAAGTTAAGAATAACATATAAGCCCTAATTCTGATCATATTTCTTTAGCTAGCCTTTTTATTAAATCATCTCCTTTAAAATCCAAATCTTGAATTAATGTAAATGATGGTCTTACTAAAAAACTAACACAATAATCCAAAAATCAAATGACATGTTTTGAAAATATAAACAGTTTATTTTTTAACAGCTGACTCTCACATAACCTTGTTATGAAGGGACATGAAAACACATTACTCTTTTGTGACAGCAGTGATATCTGTCACAAAACAGCCACATAACCTACACTATTCAGGGAACAATACCCCTATATTACCAAAGAAGGCATAGTAAGACTTTACTGTAATCAAATTTATTTCATTTACTTCAACAGATTATAGAAATAAAAGGAAGTGAGCAAATTACTGACTGAAAAATGCAGCAGTATGTAGAACTCAGCAAACCAAAGGAAAACATAAGGATTAACATAAACAAGGTTACAGCATTTCTGACATAAAATTTCAGCTAAATATCCTAAATAAAAGAAGAATTTTTAGGAATGCGTCCTCCTTAGGAAGTGAAAATCTAAAGGAGTAGTAATAAATTTGTTCAGAGAAGAGCTATCAGTACTAATAAAAAGCCTAATTATGTAAGCTAGGAAATTATATTGAATCTTCAAATAGTAAGTTTAGGGTGATGACTAAAGCTGTATTATTTCTTAAGATACAGTAAACAGTAGCTCTTTGTCACCTTAAGAACAAAATAAAACAGAGATTGCTTAATCACATAAAGTATAAGAAATTTTTATTTGACTAAATAAAACACTAGATGATTAAAATCACTGTAATGTGAAATAAACACACATAAGTAAAATAGTATTCTTTGAACACCTATAATATCCAGAATGTGATCAGCTTAAGAAACAAGTATGTAAGTTACACAATCCCTTCAGATACCTTCCAGGCATTGACCACTGAGTCTTAATTTATTTCTCAATGCAGTAACAAGATCATTCCCGAACAAAAACTCACCAAACAGAACCCTTAGGTAACCAAAGCCCTAAATCCAAGCACTTAGTTTCAACCTTTGTGCACCCTCAATCCCTTATCAGGTTGAAAAGAAAGACAGCCTATACCCTGTGTTGTATACCTTTTCACTTTTAAAATACTGAATAATACGTAGGTAAAAAATACTTTCTTGTGCTAGCCTTCCCTATAATAGCTATGTTTTGAAGATTAAATGTTAATAAACATGAAGCACTTAGCACAATGACTTGCACAGAGTAAGCACTCAGTGTTAGCTTAGCCGTCATGTTCATTTTAGTAATGTAAAATACATACATTTTATCACCTTAATATATGTAATTCTAAAGTCAGTAACAAAACAGTTCATAAAAATATACATTGTTTTAAGTCACTCAAAGGTTGAAATATTTAAATATGAGTAAGAAATACAAATTTCATAATATATTATAGTCCTTCATTTCTAGTTTTTAATCAATAACTGAAATTTAATTCAAATTAAAATGAGACAGCCATGTAAAGTAAATGAGCATTACATAAAAATCTGAAATTTTGCTTCATCCAAATTGTAATTAACTGATCATATGACCAAGGACAAGGAAACAAATCTTCTAAACCCAGTTAATTTATTCTTCCATAAAATGGAAAAAATGGCCAGCACTGTGGGCAGTAGGCTAATCCTCCGCCTGCAGTGTCTGCATCCCATATGGGCACCAGTTCGAGTCCCAGCTGCTCCTCTTCTGATCCAGCTCTCTTCTGATCCAGAAGATGACCCAAGTACGTGGGTCTTTGCACCCGCCTGGGAGACCCAGAAGAAGCTCCTGGTTCCTAGCTTCGGATTGGCACAGCTCCAGCCGTTGTGGCCCTTTGGGGAGTCAACCAGTGGATGAAGAGCTTTCTCTTTGTCTCTCCCTCTCACTGTCTGTAATTCTACATCTCTAATAAATAAATAAAATCTTTTTTAAAAAATGGCAAAAAGTAACATGAACCCTATCTTCCAAAGTTGTTGCCATGCTAGAGAAAAAATACATTCAAAACTAACATAACTTTTAAAGTGCTATACATACATATAAAGAATAAGCTCAATTTTATTGTAGCAAGATAAAAATGAACAACTAAATTTTTTAAAAAATTTTAAGTTTTATTTACACAGATAGAGACTATATACTCAATGTTACATTGCTTTGCTTAAAATTCCACTATTTTTATAATTAAAATGAAGTTTTACTAAAGAATAAATCATTCATTTAATGAGAAAACAAAAATAAGATATTTTCTTCATGAAATTAGATAAATTCCTAATTAGTTTTCTCATTTGCAGAGATCTGGATCTCATTTAATATTTCCTGGTTCTGAATGTAATATAGTTTTTTTAATAGAAAGCTTTTGTTTAATAAATATAAATTTCATAGGTACAACTTTTGGATTATGTTGGTTCTTCCCCCCATACCTGCCCTCACACCCCCAAACCATCCCACCTTCTACTCCCTCTCCCATCCCATTCTTCATTAAGATTCATTTTTAATTATCTTTATATACAGAAGATCAGCTCTATACTAAGTAAAGATTTCAACAGTTTGCACCCACACAGACACACAAAGTATAAAGTACTGTTGGAATGCTAGTTTTACTATCAATTCTCATAGTACAACACATTCAAGACAGAGGTCCAACATGGAGAGCAAGTGCACAGTGACTCCTATTGTTGATTTAATAATTGACACTCTTATTTATGATGTCAGTGATCACACGAGGCTCTTGTCACGAGCTGCCAGGGCTATGGAAGCCTCTTGAGTCCACAAACTCTGACATTATTTAGACAAGGCCATAAGCAAAGGAGAAGTTCTCTCCTCCCTTCAGAGAAAGGTACCTCCTTCTTTGATGGCCCCTTTTTTCCACCTGGATCTCACTCACAGAGACCTTTCATGTAGGTCATTTGTTGCCATAGTGTGTTGGCTTTACAGCATGAAATGCTCTCTTGGGCTTTTTATAGCCAGATCCAAATGTCTTAAGGGCTTATTCTGAGGCCAGAGTGCTAAACAACTAAATTTTTAAACATCCCAAATTCAGTCAATTTATGAGTGCTACAAAAGCAACTTTATTATTCAGATGCTGCTATATCACAATTGCTAGTATAACACATAGGTATAAGAATTTTTAATATTAAACATAAAAAATAATGCAGGAAAAATATTTAGCCTATAAAAATATATTAATATTTTTCAAAGCATCTGCCTACATGCACACAACACACACACATGCACACAAACACATGACTCCTATTTATTTAAGTAAGTTCAAGAGAATATCTATTTTTTCTTATGTAAAATCTAAGAATTTTTATTATAGTACTCAATAATTTAAGACTATCATTTGACTTTTTCTGAATATATCAAGTATTTGAACTCAAAACTCTATGCTGAACTTCAATGCCATCTCTTAATATTCTTATTGCTCGCTTTACAAAGCAAATATAAAAACTCTCCTTTTAAACATAAAAGTCCAAGCATAAAAAAATTACATAGCAGGTCTGAATGGGCTACTTTCAGAAAGGCTTGTTCCTGAGGTTAGCCATAGACCAGCCTTTGAGAACTTTGCACCTGAACCATTCCCTAAATGAAAATGTGATTCAATGCCTAGATTGTTTATAAACAATGTGATTTATAGCAAACACTTATTTTGAGGGGTAGGTGCAGAAGGAGTCTAGCCACTCATGCTAAGCAGAGGGTATCTTCATGAACACCCCAATAAAAACCCTGGGTACTGGTTTCTAATGGTCTTCCCTTGGCAAGAACACAATACTTGTGTTATTAAAGTGTTCATAGCTAGATAAAGGAACAACAGGAAGAGATAATAAAAACTGTACATTTTCACATGCATGCATAAGTATGTGTATACATAATAAATATATAATCAGTAAGTCATTTCAAGTCATAGTTACTATCCTGCAATCACTCAAAAGTTGAAAAAAAATTCAACAGGATATTTTTGCTTTATTTCAAAGACAAAATGACAGAGCGGGGAAGACAAGAGAGAAAGTGATCTTCCATCTACTGATTTACTCCTCAAATGTCCACAATGGTTGGGTCTGAGCCATTCAGAAGCCAAGATCTCCCATGTGACAAACACTTGGGCCACCTTCTGCTGCCTTGCCAGATGCATTAACTGGGAGCTAGATCAGAAACAAAGCAGTCAGACTTGGACTGGTAACTGGATATAAGATGCCAGTGTCACAGATGGCAGCTTAACTCATTGTACTACAACACCAGCCCCTATACAGGGCATTTTAAATACCTAAATTGTATTAGAAGATGAAAATTAGATGATTTGCCTGCTACAGGCATCATCACGATTAAAAGTTTTTACTCTGGGGGGGCCAACATTGTGATACAGGAGGTTAAGCTGCCAGCTGGGACTTTGGCATCCCATACTGGAGCGTCAGTTTGGGTCCTGACTGCTCTGCATCTGATCCAGCTCCCTGTTACATGCACCTAGGAAATCAGTGGGTGAAGGCCCGAAGTCTTGGGTCCTGCCAACCACAGGGGAGACACAGATGAAGTTCCTGGCTCCTGTTGCAGTCGTTCGGAAAGTGAACCAACAAACAGATGATCTCCTTCACTGTCAATTCCTCTTTATGTCATTCTACCTTTCAAATAAATAAATATGTTTAAAAAAAAACCTTTTATTTTGCTGTTATCATATGGTATTACAACTTTGGATTGGAGTATTCCATAATATATTTTAGAGAAAGTGATAAAGACAAATTCATCTGGATATCAATAGCCTTTCAGATACTTAACACAAATACTTCATCTAGATTTATTTAAAGTTTCACATTAATTATAGGTGGTTCATTGCTATTTACCTAAGTATAAATAAGTGAAATAAAGAACAGAGGATTGTGATAAAACCTCATGCCTATCACCTTTAGAAAGTTTTTCTTAAATAAACAAAAAAATTGAGTTGAGTTGGTTACATTTTAAAAAAGCAAAATTCACTAGTTTAGGTGCTACTCAATGAAAGTTAAAATACCTGGAGAACATTACTATTTGTAGTAATAAATAAAATGCACAATTTCTAATTCTTATTATAAAAAATTATCTTACATTTATTAAAAATTTAAAAACTCAGAAACAAAGATTACATAAGGGACTTAGTGAATAAAATTCAAAGAAGCTGAAAAAGAATAAGAACTCAAAACACAAATTTTACCTGTTTATATCCAAGTTTAATTTGTTAAATATAAACAACTCTTTAAGAGAAAGCTATATAAATTATATATTTATTTATATGTTAAATGTTGTTAGCACCCACCATTTCTGCTTTGTATCAACTGTGCTGTGATATGATGGAATTGTCAGACAATAGTTATGAATTTCATGGATCATTTATCACAATATGTAAATTTCACTATTAAAAGATTGTTAGTGTAAAGAACATTCAAAAAATTTCAGAGGAGTAAATTCAGGATTGAAAAAATAACATAAAAACATAGGCTTGCTTACATTTTTTATTTCAAGTAATTTTTATAACTATTGAAAAAAATCTAAAAGCCAATCTGCTTATAAAAAAGATATAGCTAATATGGTTGGATAAAGGAAGAGATGGAATAAATATATACCAAAACATTAACAGTAATTATACACAGTAGCTTTAGCTTTGTTATTTTGCTTTTCTATATTTTCTAAAATGTTCAACAATAGCATTACTTTTACCATCATGTTTATCTTCACTACAAATACAACTGTCAAAAAGCTAGATCCTAGATAGAGTTTTAAAGTTAAGTAGCCATCATTTTTTTTCATTCTTTTTTTTATTTTATTTTATTTAATGAACATACATTTCCAAAGTACAGCTTATGGATTACAATAGCTTCCCCCCCATAACTTCCCTCCCACCCACAACACTCCCCTCTCCCACTCCCTCTCCCCTCCCATTCGCATCAAGATTAATTTTCAATTATCTTTATATACAGAAGATCAATTTAGCATATTAAATAAAGATTTCAACAGTTTGCACCCACACAGAAACACAAAGTGTAAAATACTATTTGAGTACTAGTTATAGCATTAATTAAACCCCTAAGAGTAATTGTATATTAATTACAGAGTTCAACCAATACCAATAGTTTTAAGTAGAACATAAAAAATACTAAAAGGGTAAAGTATTAAGTTCTTTTTTGTTTGTTTGTTACATAGTTTTTTTTTTATTTAATAAATGTGAATTTACAAAGTTCAACTTTTGTATTGTGAAAGTAGCCATCGTTTTTAAAGAATGGTTAGTTTTTACTACTATTTTATATCTACTGTAAATGTTATACAATTCTATAATTTATATCTGAAAAAGGACTAATTACCTTTTTTCATTGGTCTCTGAAATACATGTTAATAATTCATAACATGTATTATTGAACAATGATTAAAATGAATAATTCAATATGTTAAAATTCAACAAATGCCACTACAACTTAAAATGAACAAAAAAGAAAGATGTTTTCTATACTACTTTTCATAAATCAGTTTATTCTATGAGACATTTTTCACAAATAGAGTTAAAATTTTAATAAGTTAATAAACATAACCTACATTGAGAGCAATCAGGATGATGTCATTTACATTGACTTTGTCAGGAGAACTTGTACAAGCTGCAATGCCTTCATCTGAAAGATACCTGTTAAAATAAAGTAAATGGCTTAGTATTATCTAAAATCAAAATTAATCAAAAGTCTTTATTTAAATTCTACATGTCATTGTGTTGTTTACTATAGAGTACTTCTACTACAAATTCAAGGGGTCTTCAAAAGGAATAGGAAATCCATGAAAAAACTATGGATTTGGGGGCCAGTGCTGTGACACAGTGGGTAAAGCAGCTGCCTGCAGTGCTGGCATCCCATATGGGCAACGGTTCAAGCCCTGGATGCTCCACTTCCAATCCAGCTCTCTGCTATGGCCTGGGCAGAAGATGGCCCAAGTCCTTGGGCTCCTGCACCTGCATGGGAGACCAGGAAGAAGCTCCTGGCTCCTGGCTTCAGATTGGTGCAGCTCTAGCCATTGCGATCATCTGGGGAGTAAACCAGCAGATGGAAGACTCTCTGCCTCTGCTTCCCTGTAACTCTGCCTTTTAAATAACAAATCTTAAAAAAAAAAAAAAAAAAAAAAAAAAAAAAAAAAAAAAACATGGATTTCAACATTTCTTTGTACTAAGATAATCTCACACTAACCAGTTATAACATGTCTGAACAGAATCTAATTTGATATCAGTTTGAACTCCTATGAAGCATGATTCTGCTAAAATTGAAGCAAGAAGAAACATCCAAATTATGGCGAAGCTCCAGTGGAAGAATGGTGAAATCAGTGATGCTTTACCAAAAGTTTATTAGGACAGTATCTCAAAGAAATCAGCAGCTTAAACTTATTTTAAGAAGGAACAAGAGGGCCTGGGATTGTGGCACAGTGGGTTAGGCCATTATGTGCAATGTCAGCATCCTGAAGGCGCCAGTACAAGCCCCCACTGCTCTACTTCTGATCTAGCTCCCTACTAGATTACCAGATCACCAGGGAAAACAGCAGAAAATGGCCCAAGTTACTGGGCCCCTACCATCCAAGTGGGAGACCTGGAATTCCATCCATTGTTTCCAGGATGGAAAGTCAGTTTGTCTTTTCTCTCCCTCAAGCAATACCCTACACTCTGCCTTTAAAATGAATACATGTAGAAACAAACAACCAAACAACAAACCACAAACAATCAAAGGCCAGTGTTGTGGTGCAGTGGACTGTGCTGCAATTTATGACACAGCAAGGTTCACTGGCCCAGCTCTGGTCATGGCAGCCACTTGGGGAGTGAACCAGTGGACAAATTATCGCTGTCTTTCACTTTCTCTGTCACTCTGTCTTTCAAATAAGTACATTTAAAAAAAAAAAAGAAAGAAACAAGATGTTCCAAAGTCAGCAGTACAAATCAATTTATCAATTTGCAAGTAAAAAATTAATCTCATTTTTGTCCAATTGAAGAGAACCAATGATTAACAGCAGAAAAAACAGCCAACATCACAGACATGTCAACTGGTTCAGCCTACAGACAAGCAGAACTTTCAGTGGAAATTTTAAACAAGTAGAATTTGTAATGGGAGATGAAACATGGCTTTATCAGTACAATACTGAAGACAAAGCCCAATCAGCAATGGCTACCAAGAAGTAGAAGAGGACCAAAGTAAAAGTGGGTCAGTTAAAATCAATGAGTCAAGACAACTGCTTTTGGGATACTCGATGCATTTTGCTTCTTGATGTTCTGAAGTCTAAAGAATAATAACAACTGCTTTGTATGAGAGTGTTTTAAGAAAGTCAGCCAAAGTTTTAGCAAAAGTCCACAAAGTTTCACCAGAACGTCTTCCTCCACCCCAACAATGCTTCTGCTTATTCCTCTTATCAAATAAGGGAAGCTTTGCAAGAGTTTCAATGGGAAATTATTAGGCAGTTCTGATTTGGTTCCTTTTGACTTTTTAGATTTCTCATTTAAAAAAAAAATGGTTAAAGGGCACTTTTTCTCTTTAGCTAATAATATTTAAAAAACTGCACTGAAATGGTTAAATTCCTAGGAACCACAATTCTTTAGGACTTAACCAAATGGCTGGTTATCATCTATTACAAAAACATCTTGAACTTGGTGGAACTTATGTCAAGAAATACAGTTTATAATTTTTAATTTTATCTTGTAACACCATTTTGCACACACTTTTAAAGTCCCCATGCCGGGGGCTAGCAATGCAGCATAACGGGTAAAGCTACCACCTGAGGTGCCAGCATCCCATATGAGCACCTGTTTGAGTTGTGGCTGCTCTACTTCTGATCCAGCTCTCTGCTATGGCCTGTGAAAGCAACAGAAGATGGCCCAAGTCCTCAGGCCCCTGCAATCATGTAGAGATCTGGAAGAAGCTACAAGTTCCTGGCTTCAGATCGGCCCAGCTCTGGCTATTGTGCCCATCTTGAGAGTGAACCAGCAGATGGAAGACCTATCTCTCCCCTCCTCCACCCCTGATTTCTTTGTTTTTTAGAAAGGCAATTGTTTAGAACTCAAGAAATATAGAATGTCAGAAAAACTGGAATAGATTCTAAAAAAAAAATTAAAGTTCACGTTTTCAATATTAATTATGAAGAAAAGGACTCCTACAGACCTTAAATTTGCCCAAAAGTACAAACTTAGATGACAAAAATTAAAAACAAAAATGCCCCCTAAATGCAACTTCATCAAACACTGCATTAAAATCATTGTTTTTACTTACAAAATAACTAATGCTTTTACCAGGACTATGATCTCCTCATAAATAAAAGCCACTATCTATATAAATCATTTTTTTCTAATCAGCTAGACACTTCACCAGCACACAACACAAACACACAGAGAGGGAGGGAGGGAGGGGCGGGGAGGGAGAGAGAGAGAGAGAGAGAAGCACAATTAGGACAATTCAATCAGTAAGCTCTAAAGTATATTAAACAAGAATAGATGTAAGTTTTATAATAAAATGTCAAGAAACTAGAGGAAGGCAATTGACTCAGTGGTCAAGTGGCCACTTGGGATACCTGCATCCCATTATAGAGTGCCTGGTTCAAGTTCTGGCTAATTCACTTACCATCTAGTTTCCTGTTAATGTACACCCTAGGTGGTGGCAGGTCACGGCTCAAGTACTTGATCCCTGTCACACAAGCTCCTGACTTTGGCATGGTCCAGCCCTGGCTGTTTTGGGCAGTTAGGGAGTGAACCAGTGGATGGAAAATTGTTTTGTCCCTCTCTCTCTGCTGTTCAAATAAAATGAAAACTAAAATTGTAAAAAGTCAAAGAAGCTACTAGCAACTAATGATTAGAGATTCAAAAGTTATTAGAGGGGCTGGACCTGTGGCACAGTGGGTTAGTCCTCCGCCTGTGGTGCCAGCATTCCACATGGGTGCCAGTTCTGGTCTGGCTGCTCCTCTTCCAATTCAGTTCTCTACTGTGGCCTGAAGGAGCAGTAGCGGATGGCCAAAGAACTTGGGCCCTGGCACTCACATGGGAGACCTGGAGAAAGCTCCTGGCTCCTGACTTTGGATCGGCTCAGCTCCGGCTATTGCGGCCATTTGGGGAGTGAACCAGTAGATGGAAGACCTTTCTCTCTGTCTCTTCCTCTCACTGTCTATAACTCTACCTCTAAAAAAAATAAATAAAATCTTTTTTTAAAAAAAGTTATTAGAAAAATAAATTACCCATCCCTACAAAACCTAAAAGGTCAAAGTCTACTTAAAAAATTCTAAAGTCTTTAGTTGAAAAGACTGAATTTTATCCACATTACAGTCAAATAACAAATTTCAAATAATGTCTGTATAAAGCTTCTTGAATAAAAACTATAAAATGAGGGTGGGTCCCAATTTCCAAGTTTTATAAGGTCTCCCTTGCTCACTCTTCATATTTTGAAAAACTAAAGGACTTAAGCTTTACAGTTTTACTCCATAATTATTAAGAAACATGAGACCCAATCACATCTGTCGACAAGTAACATCAGTGACCCTTTGTTGTGATGTGTGTTCTACTATGGTATGATCCTTGTAAGTCTAAGTAAATTTGCATTTTAATTATGATTAATATGGCTATGCTTTGACAGCACCAATGCCATTTTGAATTTTTCTTATAACACACCGATAATTGAGCCAAGTAGCTGACTGACAGCAAGGAGGTCCATTACCTCACTCTGGCTGATTGACTGACAACTATGCACTGATATGCAAATAAGATAGTTTGGTACTGGGACATTTTCCTCCAATGTTGGTATCTAAAGCTAAGATAATACACCTTCCGGAGCATGAAATTCTAATACTTTCAAATTGTCGTTTGAGACACATCTTTCTAGGACAACCTCCCTACAAAATATCATTCTGAAAAGGCATTGTCCACCAGAGGCTCTACTGGAGTGAAAAGCCCTTTCTTTGTATCAGTGCTGATGGCCTGATAGCATCTGTAACTGTTCAGCATCACCTTGAAGGGGCAAGTTTTCTAGGACCATTTGCAAAATTTCTTCCATGGAAGCCTGGTGTTTGGTTCATCATTAGCATTTGATGCTTTAGCAATTTTCTTTTACCTATTTTTGCCCATTTTATCACATGTTCTTTTTGCTTATTATGCCTTTGTGTGTATTGCAATACCTCAATTGGCCTGTCATTTGATTAAAGGGGAAAAGGATCTGTGTGTCTTGGAAAGATCATTATCATTGAGGTTGAAACTGTTACCAAGTACTGGGGAAACCAGGCTGCCGTATTTGGTTCAGTGTGACATTCTTTGGTCACACTGGACAATTTTCACAGAAAAACTGAACCTAAGCTAATCATAATTGCAAATTAATCTTTTTGTTTCTGTAAACATTTAAAAATCCACAGTTATCAAGGAATAAAATAAGTGATAAAAGTAAAAATTCAGCCGCCGGAACTGTGGTATAGTGGGGCTAAGCCTCTGCCTACAGTGCCATCAACCCATATGGGTGCCGGTTTGTGTCCCAGCTATTCCTCTTCCAATCCTGCTCTTTGCTATGGCCTGGGAAAGCAGCAGAAGCTGGCCCAAGTGCTTGGGACCATGAACCCACGTGGGAGACCCAGAAGAAACTCCTGGCTCCTAGCTTCAGATCGATTCAGCTCAGGCCTTTGCAGCCATTT